TCGTTTTCATTGTTCGGAACGGAAAGTTCTCGTTAATGTGGGCGTTATCGGAATCATTACGTAGAAGTGAAAAGAAAACAAACACCATCGTCTAAGGGGGGAAAAAACTACACATTTGATATGTAACGAAACGTGTGAGAAATTCCCAAAAAATGCAGCGGGCTTTAGTCTTGTATTTTTTTTTTTTTATCATAAGAAATATGGTAGACTCCGCCCCATTTTGGGTGAAAGAAACTTTGGCTGACGTTTGATAAATGACTGATTGATCGGGAAGCGCCGGTATGAAAAACTAAGGAGAATCGGAGATTTCTTCGGTGGGCAGACACCCAAAGCCATGTCAAATAAAATTATCGGCGGGACAAGTTAATGTCCTATAAAATATGAATACCAAAAACTTGAAGCTAAATCAAAACACAAATTAACAATGAAAATTATTCAAAATGCTTCATGTTAACTCCCTTACTCCAAAGAAAAATAAACCCAAAATGATTTATGACAATGGGGCGGGCGTAAAAATAAAAGGGGAGAAAGAAAAACCGAAACGTATAAAACGAGAACACAAAACATTGAAAATCAACCAAAACGCAAAGCGAAGCAATTAAAAGAAATCCGTTGAACTTGCCGGCAGTCGTAAACCCAAAAACTGGAGAAGGAAAAATGGAAAATGGACAAGCCCCGAAGGCTTTGACAAGAGCAGAAAACAATTAAACTAACATTTAATGGTTTTCACACATAATTCTACGAGTCTTGTATAAAATAAAGGATTATCTAAGAGACCCGAAACCGAAACACTTGGAAACCACATAGACCAGACCACCCCTAACAAATCATTTATAAAACATAATTGCTCCAAGTCACTTGAGAATCAGAGTTCAGAGATAAAAGAAAAAAAATGTGGAAAATCTTAACAAAGATCCCCCAAAGCCACACAAAGACACCGCAGGCGATGGAATATTATTTTAGAATAATGATGGGAGATGCTTTCCCGATCCAAAGCATCTATAACTACGTTTTTAACACTTGCCCAGCGACCGCCTGTCGAGCCCAAGACCTGTGTCGTCCCAGTCAATAAATATACATTTACGAGTATTTTCCTTACGCGCTGCGACTATAAATTAAATCAGGGGAAAACCCAACAGCAATAACAAACAGAGAAATCCGAGACAGAGACTTCTCCCATTTATATTGCTACCAATAATGAAGCCATTACTGCAGTCAATGCCTAAGTGCAAATGGCCATTAAAAACAATTTAAGGGGCGGATCGGCCCATTTTCCCCAGCGAAAGCATTTAGAAATATTGCAAATTACTGCAAATAATTGACAAACATTAAGAGTGCCCAACAGCTGGGAAAATTTACACAACATTCACTTAGGAAAAATCAAATGCAGGAAAAATCCCAGACAGCGGCCCAAAATTGATGTTATTGTGATGACAAATCAACCTCGGGAGCCAGGGAAAGCTTTCTATCTAATGAAACTGCAATTCACAACGGAGACGCAGGACTTTCCCAGCTGCTCATGTCGTGGAGGGTGGGAGGAAGGGGGTTGCACTTGATTTATGTGCGAGGTTTCGCCCATTGAAAGTGCTTTCTCATCGATGCCGTGGGATGCTTTATTAAATGCTGCAACTCAAATTCAATTTTCGCAACTGTTGCCAAAATATCAGCTTAGCTAAGTGGAAGGTCAATTGCACGAGGGGGTGGAGTGCCTTTGCGGGGCGGAAAATTTGAACATTTGTTAAAGCGACTTATTAATGTTATAATCTAATTATAAATGGCAGTTCTGGCTCTGATTTCGGGGTACACATAAAAAATAATTTGCAGATGAGGGTGCAAAGTGCGGGTAATATTTCTATAGTTTTCCTTTTTTTTCGAGGGGTAAAATATAACCAAATATGGGATTAATTGCAAGCTGGCTATAGGTTTCACATAAAAAAGGGATTTTAGTTTTTTTTAGTCTAGAATGATTTATAGAGGTATACGATCAGGTATTAGCTGCAGCTGTTCTAAAAGTTACTAGTTTTATGTTAAATAAAACTAAAAAGTATGTCTTATTTTTATATATTTTTTATTTAGGATACAAATAAATATTAGCTAGATTAATTAAGGATTTTCTTTCTGTTTAACTAATCCCAATAATGTCAAACAATATTTAGACTATTTTCGTTTGTAAATTTAATTACAATACTTACAATATTCTAATGTTTTGCTTACCTAAACTACTTATTAATTAAAAGAAAAATACCAGTTCTTCATTTCTTTCATCTTAAAACCCCAATTTAATAACAATTATTCTCTACAAAACCCAAAAACTTTTCACCACTCACCGAAAACAGTTTCAATTAAGTCGAAACTCGAAACTGAAGCTGATTTTGGTCAAGCCACAGAAACTCCTGGCGACAGGACTCCGCCAGGCCACGTCTATTGATGCCAGTTTCCTTCATCCTTCCGACGAGCTAATTAAGTAAACAAAAGTTGGGGAAAACCAACCTCTGAAGCCAAACCGGAGCAGCTCAATTAATAATAAAATGCGAAAATGGGAAAAACGGGAGCTCGTAAACAAGCCACAAAAAAAGAAAGAAAAACTTGAACTCATAATTTCCGGAGGTGCTAATAAGTTGCAAAATTATTTTCAATGAAAATGCAGGCTAGGAAAATGGGCGGGTGCGTTGCAGTGCAACTTGCCGGGGCAGCCGCAAAGTATAAAAAATTGACTTCAATTAAAGTGCCATAGTTGCCTGTATAAACAGCACACGGAAAAATGAAAAGCGCAAAACGAGAGTCGAAAGGATAATGATAATTACGGCCAGCCAAGGCGGGGGGCAGCGGCGGGTAGGTGGTGCTTTTCCGACTGCGCTGGTGAATGAGACTGTAAAGTTTTTGTGTTTATTTTATGCTCGTGAAAAAAAAAGAGACCGAAAAAGCGAAGCCAAGAGGATGAAAGTTTCAATGTAGTGCGGCTGATAAAGAGGAGAAAGCAGAACAGGGAGCGGAAAATCGGTGAAGAGGGGAGACCGGGACCTATGATAGTGGAAAATGCAGCAGCCCCAGTGGGTGGGGTGGGGAAACATACGATTACGAGGACGTTAAACAAATAAGCAAAAGGCAATGTGTAAAAACAGCACAGAGAACACAGAGGCAAATGAAGAAGCCAAAAGTAGAACGCGCATCATGGACGCACATACTCGAGTATGGGCAAGGACTCATTCAGGACATACGATCAGGATCAGAATAATAGGACTTATAAGAAGTATATATGTCTATGATAAATATAGAAATTAAATAAGATTTTTTGAATAAGTTTTCCTAAAAATTATGAAAATTTAACTTCTTAGAGAACTTTACGGTTTTCTTCAGAGACTCCAAGCTATTTATATTTTACAATATTAATGTTGATTATTATATTTCTTCAATAACTTATATTTTACATGATTGTAATCTTTCCCTTAATAAACTCTTTAACCTTTGTTAATAAAAATCTAACCATAACTATGCCCACGCCTTCTGTCAATACAGAAATGAAAAGTCAAAACTTGGCTAGGGCTTCTGTCGCTGCTACTAGCTGCCCTTTCTGATTCTGATTCAGATTCAGATTCAGTTGCTGCTGCTGCTGATTCTGCTCCTTTGCTGTCCATACTGAATGACTCGCCAGCGGGCCAAGTTCTTCGCTTCCCTTCACCCCGTGTGCAACCACCACCCACTGGGGACTCAACTTGTTGAGGAGTGACGGATTCACTCACTCACTCGCTCAGAGACTTTTCTACCCCCGGGTTCATCGTCAGTCTGTCAGTCACTCAAACTCGCATTTCATTCCATTTCCATTTCATTCACTTTGCCTCCGCACTGCCCAAAACAGCAATGTCTTTTGCCTTTCGCTGCTCCCTTTTGTTTCAGTGTAGTTTCCGTTGGTTGTAGTAAATTTTTCTCATTTCGCTTTTTGTTGGAGTGGTTTTTATACCTTGGAGTCGTAAGAGGTAAGGGGTATGCCTAACTTGATGGGTTTATGGGTGAATGAAGATGTAAATAAGTAAGAATTGTAATTTAATAAATTTTAGAACTTGATATTAAGTCAATTACTGAAATATTTATTAAAATAATCATGGTTTCTATTGATCGCCATATTAATTTTAAAATATATATTTATCTCAGGATCTATTAAATTTAGAGCTGCTAATTTTAGGATGCAGTTTATTTACAGGCTGAGAAAACTATAAAAACTATAAAATCTTAAAAATTTTAATTTATCACAAAAAGTTTTAATAAATAATTTGAACTATTATTTCCTAAAATATTTTAATATATCCTATTCATATCTCGGGATCTCTTTAACCTAGAGCTATGAATTTAGGGATAGAGATTCGTTGTATCCTAAACGAACAAATTCATATTACATTTATTTGAAATTAATATTTTCCTTAAACAATCTTTTTATAAAGCCTTTTTATTTTCTAAATTAAGTAAGTATTTATAAGATCATAATAGATCAGTAAATATCACTTGTTTAATCATAGCTAAAAACCTTTAAAAAGTATCTTTCAAGACGCCTAAAAGTAGGCAACACTCTTTATTTTAAGAGGTATCTCCTAGTCGCTTATTCCATTACATCTCGTTCCTACTTCTATTTGTGCTGTTGCTGTTTTGAGTGTTCCACAGTTCGCACGTGTGTGTGTTGGTGTGGTTTGAGCAAGGCAAATGAAGAAAAACGAACTCAACACACACACACAGAGGCAGAGACACCAACAGGGGAAGAGAGAGAGGAAAGGCATAGAAAGAACTAGCGGTAAATACATGAACAACGCCGGCTCGCCTGCCTGCCTGTCATGAAATTTGTATCTCAGCGACTGTTGCTGCTGCTGCTCTATCCTCCCCTTGCCGCTTTTCCAGCGCTCGCTCTCTCTCACCTCACCCCCGCCACTGCCTATTCCGCCTCTGCCTCTCCTTGGCTCTCCGCCTCGTGCTCATTTTCCGTTGTATTTTTTCGATGCACTCGCTCCGTGGAATTCATTCCCTCTGCGCACTTCGAACCGATCGCTCGCATAGCTCCCGGGACTCGAACGCCGGACTTCGACTTAGTTTTTCGACTTCGACACCGATTCGAAATTCCTTTTACGCGCTAAGTTATTGAACACACTTGAAGGGCGTCCATAAAGTTGTGGAAATTACGACTTTAGCATATTGTGTTTTGTGTTTGTTGTCCAAAGACCAAAGTGTAAACAATCGAAAGAATTACGAGGAATTCTTAAAACTCACAAAAACAATAGCAACGAAAAAATGGGTCGCCTGTTCCAGTACAATCGCTTTGGCGCCATGGATAATATCCAGAAAAATATTAGCAAAAAGGATACCCAGCAAAAAAACAAGATGGTAAGTTTACCTTGGTTTTAATAAGGTCTAAGGGATCGTATTTTTTAAGACCTACAAAAAATATCTTAGGGGATCTGTGAAAATATTTTTATAGATATTTTTTAGGAAATATACGGGAAAAATAATAAATATTATTTTAGGAAATATATCTCTTAATTTGTACCAAAAGTATCTATAGAAAGATATTATTAATGACAAAATATAATAAAATATTTTAGATCTATCAATCCTTGACATAAACGCGCTTAAATCTATTTTAGAGAACTATAAACCCTCTAAAAGGATTTAATGGATCTTTTACGATCTTCATTTTAAGCTTTTTCACAAAGATTTTACATAATCCGCTTTACAGTCTTTCCCAAAAACTTAAGAACATTATTTTTGAAAGAACTCTCTTAAGGAGTTTAATGAATAAGACCTTTAGGCCTCAGAATAATTGATTTCCCATCAAGTTTTTCAATCTTCAGCTTATAAAGGATGCCTTTGTAAAGCCTTTTAGAAGACAATAGAAATTTAAATGAAATAAAAGAAGAATAAACTACAATAAATTCCACTCCTGAGGCATCTTCACAAACATTCAAACACTCTTTTCTGTAGTTCCCCAAAAGCCTATGTCACACACTCCCCACACAACACCCACGCACACACTTGGCACTATCTACAGTGAACTCTAGCCGAATTCAAAACACGAACGACAACAATTAAAATGATTTAGTGTCACAGATAGCATAGACAAAGCCCAAGCGCAGCATAATAAACTCGACTGTCGCCGTAAATCAGTGGGACACTAAATCACGCTGAACCAAATAAATATGATTTGCATAAATATATATAAAACTAAATACGATCAGAGGGTGGGACTCGCAGTACTGTAAGCCGAAATCAGAATTCAAATAAATCAAATTGTAAATGCAGCCAGATTTGCCAAGTCTAGATAAGCCGAGTAAACAAACCCAAAACCGAACCGAGTTGGGAATTGAAATCGAAACATATGTTTGGGCCTCATAAAGATAATGATTGATTTGACACAAAATGCATTTCTATTTACCAACAAGGCGCATATGTTATTTGTTTTAGATATGAGATAAGCGCTAACTAGGCTTTATCGTCTAGCCGCGATGCCCGACTGTTGATATCCCCTCAAAATTTAGCTTAATTAAGACAAACTACCTGGTTTACCATGGCTACCTGTATGCAAAGTCAACTTTCTTTGGCTAATCTCCTCTTTATTTGAGAAGCTGCAGTTATAAAAAAAAACAATAAGCAGCAGCAGCATTTATCAAAATATTTGTTTAAAAGGAATCTCGGAGTTTGTAATTTCAAACGACAGTTTTTGCCGTTTTGCCTCCTCTGCATTTTTCATTTTGTCATTTTTCACTGGAATTGACACCCATCTCTCGCCTTCTGTATTTCCCGACTCTCTGGATTCTTTTTCCCTTTGTTTTGATCTATGAAAATCTGTCTGCCTTGACGTTCTTTGGCCTTTTTGAATAGAATTTTTCATGGTGTAAGTGTAGGTGTTGGCTGTTTTGGCTCCCAAAAGGATTGTTTCTATTGAAGCTGGAAGAGTGGGTGTGGTCGCAACGGGAGTTGTTTTTAACCAGAAGTCTTGAGTTGTACAAAAGACTGAAAATTACCAAAAATGTGCATTCAGAAGTCTTTTATTCAAGGGTCCAAGTGGGGAGTTAGTTATTTGTATCTGAAAGATACTTAACAGATAAAACTGCAGTTATGTCTGGGATATTCTTTTATAAATTGCTCGTAAACACCATTATTTTAGGAGCCACTTCCTTTGGTATCTGCTTTATAAAAAGCTAGTTCTTCTGGCATAAATCGCTCGACACCTCCCTCTTACAATCCCCCCTCTAATATCCGCTTTCGTTATCAAAATCTATTACCAGACTTCGAGTGTTTACACAGCGAACTGCATGTGCTGACAAACGATTTCAATTAGCCGGTTCGTTCGCAGCAGATAAAAGGCATCATCTCGTCTAGCTCGGGTCAAAGATACAAAACGGAATCGTCACGAACTGCAGAACTCAGACAAGGACCGAGTGAGTGAGAGTTCTGGCAGCAGAACTAATAAAATTGTCACACAACTGTTGTCTGCAGTGACCATATGCTGTCTCTGGTCTGTAGGGTCTAAAGAGAGGGAGGGGCCTGGAAACGAGGGAACTCGGACTGCAACCATATTGCTAGATTAAAATCGGAGGCAATTAAGCCCAGGCCAAGATAAACATGACTTTGCAGCGGTCTTATTAAAGGGAAACTGCACTCATGGGGTATAACTTCAGTTGAAGTTTTTATGATTAACCTAATTTAATTTGCTGGGTTAATTATGTGTGGTTTATTAATTAATAAAAAGGAAATATAGTTGAAAAATTCAAAAAAAATTCTAAATATATATATAAAATATAAATTATTTTATACTAAATTCTTTTAAATTGTATAAAATCATTAATTTATTACAATTTTGTTGTTGCTTATATTAATCATAATTTTACAATCATTAGTTAAACCACTTTGACAGCTAAATATAAGCAAAACTGATACATCATTTCATTTCCACTGAAGTATAATTTACACAAATTAAATTCCCAAAAGCGTGGGCTCAACACCCATTAATTACCAGAAATTTATGAATATTTTAAGCTAAAACTAAGCACTCATTAGTTTCAAGTATTTAATTAAAAAAACCCAGACAAAAAATGTTAAGCTTTCTATTTTTGCTAAATTCAAGATAAATTGAAGCCAATAAATTTCCGCATAAACTGCACTTTTGCCTAGACAATGCATACAGGCAATTTTAGATTTTGAAAAGTCAGAAAGGCCTGAAAGCATTTTCATCTCCTCTCCTATAGCTCGTGGTGCCATGCTCTGGTGCCTTCAACGCCCCGTCTAAGTGGATTTCCTCGCCCAGAGATCCCCTTTTGATGGGCCTCATAATTCTCGATGAGGAGATGCGCAGCTAAAATTAAATCAACTGCTGGCGACGATTAGCAGCAATGAGCTGAGGCATTTAAAATTCGTAGAGATTTTAATGCACTTTTCTCCAGCGGAGAGAGCAGCCTCCCCTTTCAAGGGCAGTGATTAATGTCCATGTGCTTGCCGTGTTTGTGTTCTACACATGTATCTACATGGTGTGGAGGCTCTCTTTGATTTTTGGTTTCTGGCTATTCTAAGGATAGAAAATTAATTGCAAGGCTTTTAAGTGCATTTAATTAGGAATTCACAGGGCCCAGAGACGAGGCCTCTTGTTGACTAAACCAAAGATTTATCGGGGAAAACCGCACTGTACAATATGTATATATAATCTGCAATCTGCAGCCGGGACAATTGATGAGCATAATTAAATGGCATGGCATGCATGGCCGTAATTTATGCTCCATATTTTGGGGCCCTGATGCTCTGCTCGCCTCGCCTTTTTAAGTAAACAACAATTTCACTTATTTTCATGCCGTCTGCCGCCTCGACCATCAACTGTCTGCATTGTTATTTTTACGCTCGACTCGATATAAATTTCGCCCCTCTTCGACGCATGCCACGCCATGAAAATGTAATGCAAATATGCAAAAAAGCTTTCAACGGGATCCCTCTCTCTCTGCCCTTGTTTCCTTCTATATTTTCTTTTTTTCCCTTTAGTTTTTCCGCCCCAACCCTTTTGCTTTTTCCGACTACAAATAGTTTTTGGTTTTGGTTTAGGAGAGAGAGGCTAGCCAACATCATCGTTATCACCAGCACGTTGTCCGTGTTTGAGTTTCATATGGCTTCCCGGCGAGGATTTGTGTGCATTAGACTAGACTAGACTCGGTGAAAACTATTTACTAGAGTCTTCCGGCTCACCCTGGACAGAGGGAAAAACTTTTCAGAGAGTCTCTACGTATCTCTCTAATTAAATTGTTGGCCAGTGATAAATTCCTCAAGTTTCGAATAAGGAAAAACCCCATAAAATACAATTAAAATTTCAACAATTTTCATTTGCATTTAATAAACCCATCAAAATGGTTTTTTAAACACGCATAAAAACCCATATCCCAGAGAAACAACTCAATTCGTTTCACATTTCAATAACTTTTTATGTGACCCAATTTTTTACACCTATAAAAATGCCACAGAGGCGGCCATAAAAAATGCCAGAGCCCGAGTGAGTCAATGCCACACGCCACATGTGTCTAAACAAAGGATTTTCCAAAAGTTAATTGTAATAAAACAGAATTTACAAAACTCACCGAAAAAAAGCTGAAACTATAAACATTTTTCCAGGCATATAAAACTAAATTAGTGAGAAAATCATTTTACGAGGCCTCAAAAAATCGAGGGAAAACTTTGGGGGGAGAAGAAACGTGTGTGTGTGCGGGACGTGTTTTAAAAAATGTCATAAACTACTCACAAGTCCATGTATCTCTGACATTTTGAAAGCCCCGACACGTGTGTCCGTGCCTGGGATCACTTTGACTAGCGTTTCTGCTGTCAAATTAGCTGGAACTAAAAGCCATATATATTCAAAAAGCCCTAAGAAATATTACTAATTCTTGTTCCAAAAATGTCTAAAGGAATTTTTGAAAATTTCATAGATATTTAGAGAGGGTGGATATGAGAGTCTTAGCACAACAGCTGTCTCGGCAATTGCCCAATTTGAGTATTATTATTATTATTGCGGTTGCAATTTAAAAGCCATGAACCAGTAACCAGTAACCACTGTTTCCAAGGTGGAAGCTTGTGGTGGTGGGGTGGTTTCCTCTCAAGCAGCTGCTTGAATTTTCCATTTTCAGCTCTCGAAAATTCAGGCATATGTCGATACAGGGACCTCAAGTGGCGCACAAAGGAAAATATATTTCAATAAATTCATCAACTCACTTCGGGCACTTCAACTAATTTCTGTGCCCTCCTCCACCCGCGCTCTAAATGCACAATAAATGAAAATTTAACAACTGTTTTTATAAGACAGAACCGACCTCTTTCCCCCGAAGGGTCTGCTTCTCTCCACTTTTGTGTCTGTCTGTCAGCTGTCGAAGGTACCCCGAGTTACCTGAGTTTTTATTGTAACACATTTTGATTACGAAAATATGCTAACACCTCGCTGGCCAAACAAAGAGCCAGCCAGCTCTGGGGTGCTGTTTCATCATCAATTAGAGCTCAACCTTTCCGCAGGGCAGGATCAGAATATATCAGAATGTAAAAGGTATCAGAAGGTAAAGGTAGAGAGAGGGAGATACCAAAAATGGAGGCCCATGATTATTGCATTAGCAGTCACGCCATCAAAAAGAACAGGGCCAAGAGCAACCAACACACAGACACCTTTTGGGTCACTACTACCGTATGCTTGGATTTCATTGGGATTTGGGATTTTTCGGGGCTCCATTATCATTGAAATTACTGTTGATTCCTCTCTTTTTTTTCTTGCATAAATTAAAACCCATGTAGCCATTAAACGCTTGTTGGCCCATTGTGTTTGATTTAAGCCGATAAAAGGTACACTTTGGGGCATTTTCACGCCGCCTTTTCCCCCCAGATTTATGCGTGGCCACCACATCAAAGAAAACTCTTTCGACCACGGCTCGTTGGCTTTGAATTAATGGTCAGTGGCCAAGTAGATGTGGCAACATATAAACAAGATTTTCAATTGTTAATGCAAATCAGAGAGAGTGTAGGTTGCTGCAACGGAAGTTCTGCCTTTGCACTTCCTTTGTTTTCCTTCCACGCCAAATTCTAATTTATGGAATGTGTTGAATTATGAGGCCCCCAGCCACTAGCCATCGAATTCAATTTGGTTAAAGAGAGAGCTCTACCTGGTTCCTTTGTCCATTTTCCATTGAATGCTCATTATTTTCGGTATTGCTCACTGAAGTGCTTATGCGTGCCAGAGGATCCTGGGGGTTTTTATCCTTTAGCAGGGGTTGTGTGTGAATTGCAGGGAATTTGCTGCACTCAAAAAACAGGAGGATGTGTCACATTATTACAGGATGAATTTATTAAATAAGATGACAAAAATATAAAAAACTATATGGTTTATGAGAAAATATAGTGATAATACCCTTTATTCGAGGAATTTATAGAGAAATCCTTAAAAATCAACTAATTTGTAAGCAAAGATCCTCTTCAAAAGTGTTAAAATTACACCCACCAAAATCAGGATTTATTTAAATATTTTTAAAGTTGACAAGGATAGGTGTTGAAAAAAAAACCAACCCCTCCACAGTAGCTGCATATGAATATTTTATGGGCGAAATGAAAGGCAAATACGAGCAGGGAAAACAACGCGCTGGCAAATTGTACAACAATGAACAAGTAGAGCAAGCGCATTACAAGGATATCACAGCAGCAGTGACCCAAAAGCATTAGCTGAAAAAAGGAGGAGAAGGAGGAGAAGTCGGGTCTAGAATGAGATTGGCCTAACAAAGGGAAAAAGCAGAACAAAGCCAGGATAATGGACCACCTCTCACTCTCTCTCTGTGTGTGTGTTATCTGTGTGGTTGTATTGCATAAGAGCATCCTTGGTCCTTCGCGTTAAATGGGATTCCCCGGGACCGAGATAAGATTTATAGGGACACTTTTTACAAATTTTCCAAAACCAAAAAACTAACACAGAAATTGTTCCTGTTTTGTTTAGCTACGCAATGCCATCAAATGTCCAGGATACTCGGACATCTATGGCCAGTACAATGAGGACTTGTCCTTCGAGAAGAAGTGCCAACAATGGAGCCACAAGCTGCAGTTCCCAACCGCCGCCGCCGAACAAGAGCCAAACCAGAGTCGCACGCATAAGGTCTACGATAGCATGAAGAATTTTCTGCAGCGCAAACTGTTTGCTCAGCCCAGCTCGCACAAGGAGAGGGAGATCCTGAGCGAGGAAGCCACCAGCGATTATGATGAGGTGTGTATTTATAGATACCATATCTTTAAGCATAAATTTCTCTCAGAAAAGGGTTTATAATTGCCCTGGCCGTGACTTTGAGAACTCCTTTTCTTACTCTTTCGTTTTGAATATTATTTTAATGAGTTATTTTCCTTTTCTTTTTAGCAGGACCTTCTCGACTCCTCGTACCAAGCCGACGCGGAGGAAGAAGAGGAGGAGGAACGCGATGCCGATTGCAGCTGCAGCTCCACATCCGGCAGCTCGGCGAGCAGTAACCCAGCCACGCCTAAGAGATCGCCCCAAAAGTCCCTGCTCTCACTCAACTGCTGGCAGAGCAGTCACCCAAGCAGTGACTCCAATCCAGAGGAGGAGGAGGATGATGACCAAGAGGACTCTGATGCCGGAATCTCCGACTGCTGTCAGTTGCTAGCCGAGAACTCGTCGAGTCGCCACAGGACACCGCTGCCTCGGTATAGCAACGCCAATCAAAACTCCGATGAGGATGAAGATGATGATGAGGAGCCGGAGCTGCTGCAGTGTGCTTGGTATCAGCCCAGGATTACGCCCAAGGCAGCGATAGATCATCTACAAAAGGCCACGCCCGGCAGCTTCCTTCTGCGTCGCAGCACTCCCCGGCACTTTGAGCTTCTCCTGCGCCTGGAGAAGAGCAGCAAGGTCAAGACCTACCCGGTGCAGTCCACCCGGAATCAGATGTACCGCCTGAAAGGAGCCAAGAAGCAGTTCACCAGCCTAAAAGCCCTCATCACCCACCATTCTGTAATGGCGGAGCAGCTGCCTCTGATCCTGGACATGCCACGCGAGCGCCATGTAGTGAAGCCGCCGTCAGTGCGCTATGCCGATGACTTTGAGCCACTGGAATCGCTGCAGCTGCTGGGCATCCTGAAGAGCCTGCAGGCCAGGAGCATCGAGATATAGGAGTTAGTCAATAAGCGGGGTCTACCGGGGCGGGCTAAGTAATATCGAACTGCAAAGGGAACGATAGGTGAAATTAGGGATTTGTTTTTCTATGTCTAAGTACGTTGTGATATGGCCGAGCAACCCTCGGTCCTAGTTGTTAGCTATCATCATAGGGCCACTACCGACTAAGCGACATATGTATATTGTGTGTAGAGGTATAAGTTTTCTATTACGAATAAAAATCAAACAAAGGCATTCTGCAAAAACGCAACCCTCGAGTTTATTATTGTGTCCACACCCCCCGTCAATCGATGCACTTCCTGCATCCTAGTGGAGGGTTGTCCTGGCGAGGAAACAGAGGCTTCACTTACATGTGATTAGCGATTCGAGTGGCTCTCATTAATTTTTCAAGTGCGGCTCGTGGAGCACTCGACGCAATGCGACCGGCAACATGTTGCTGGCAACACACTCTTTTGGTGGCATAAATAATTACAGTGCTTACATTTAGTTAGTTTACAGCAGTGACAGGATGGGGAGAATGCCTTTCAGCATGGTTAAGTGATGACATTACAGGCAATTGAATAAGTTATGGTGCTCCACAGAGAGAGATTAGCTAACTGTTATCGAGTGATATAAATTCGGAGGGGAAGTGAGTGATAAATATTTGTTTAGTGGGTCTAAAAGTATGCAATGCATTTTAAGCGGCATTATTTGTGTAATCGGAGAAGGGCTAATGATACCCTGCAATAATAAAACTAACAAAAATCTAAATCTAAAAATCTATAACTAATTATTTAACAAATGTATCTAATTAAAATTAACACACTTAATTTAAATATCACTTACCACATTTGTTCTTCAAAGTTATTTCCAAGGTTAATTAAAATTTTTTAAATATTTTATTTATTTCTCTTTTATAGGGTATTATTTTAATTTTCATTTTACACAAGATAATAAAATAACCACCAATGACTCAGATCCTGTTATGTTGAATACAAAAGTTATTTGCTGAATATTTTTTTTTCTTTACGAGAAATAAAAACACAATTTTAAGTTAGTTATTCAGAAATCCATATTGAAGGACGACCATGACCCCGATCTATAAGAAAACATAAAAATAAAAACATTAAAATACTATACATCAGATTTCTTAGCATACCTAAACCTGTGATACAATCACCATGGGGGCAATTAAGGACCAGAAAGCAAACCAAAGTCTTTATTAAACAATTCTTGACATCAGATTTATTGCATACCCTGGTATGACGATGCCATAGCAAGACTTGCTAATATAAGAAGAACACAAACTAGTAACTAATTGTTTAACATTTTTATCAAATTAAATTAAGCACAGATCTTTTTAATTTTATTTGTCACATTAATTCTTACAAGCTATTTCCAAGGTTAATAAGTTTAACCCAAAAGGTTTATAATTAACAACGGTATTTATACATTTTTAAATTTATTTTTTATGATTCATATACATACATAAAGAAACATAATTATTGTTATTCTTGTTTTTAACCTTAACGAGGGAAAAAAGGATGTAAATCGCATATTGCAGGGGGACAGCGTCTCGGGCACACAGTAGGATTCCCATTGGTGTCTACGCACTCTATACAGATAATATGATTAACTTTTAATTAATAATAATATAAATAATATGTTATACTTACTCTTAGGTGCTCCCATGGCAACACTAAGCCATATAACAAATGTACAAAATAGGACAACACACTTCATGACGATCTTGGCGACAACTGTTTTTCAATTTGAAAAACCATAAGCCAAGTAAACTTGAAACCTTAGTACAGATTTTAACTGTAACTAATGGTTTAACATTTGTATCTAAATAATTTAAGCATACATCTTACCAGCTCACGTTTTGTCCATGTCAAAACTATGTACCATTTACAAGAGGTAAAAGATAAAAGTTACTGAAAAAGACAAAAAGTATGCTTTTATTTTTCACAACAACCTCGCTGCATAGTAATCCCCAAAAGCAGGCATCAATTTAAAGTGCAAGAAATCCTTAAAAAAAATATAAAAACAAAATAAATATGGAAACCCAACTTAATTAATCCCGTTTTAATAAAAAACATATCCAGTATCTGTCCACCAATATTCCCAAATGTCAACAAGACCGCTAAATAATTTCCGGGTTAATTGCGCTGGGAAAAAGCGAACCAGTTTTTCAACGACTGCAAATGATATTCGATATTGTTGGCTCAAGCCAAATAAAGGGGCAAACAATTGGCAGGCAAGTGAATAAAATATATATATTTCAATATAAACTACAAATATTCGCAATGACAGGCGGACAGAGACGGGGTCATAACCCCAGGGGCATAAAACAAAAGGCCATTAACAATAACGAGAGTCCGGGTTAAAAACATTTGCAAACAAATTACAAATAAATGGAAATGCTGACAGCATTAATAACGTTACAACATTAATAAGCGAATCGAAATGAATACAATGAATTAAAATGGAAAATGTTATAATTATGACAATAAATTAAGCCACGGGGATTGGTTTGCCCTTAGTTTATTTATTTATTTATATATTTATATAAGCGGTTATCGTTTCATTTCGATTTAAATCGTTAATTGGCTGGAAATTGGAGAGACTGAGAAATGGGGGAATATTTCAATGAAGCTATCGATTGCATTTTCCATTTTGGAAGATAATATTGTATAGAATATTGACCGCCCTGAATGGGAAATATATATCTTCCATAATATTATTGTGTCCTAAAACCACATCTCAGTTTGTATTAATCTTGAGTTCCTACCCAGCAAACAAAAACGTTCGTTTATGATATTGAAAACGATAGTTTTGCGGGTTTCAAGCGGACAAAACATCCGATTCAGGCTCATAAACGATAATAAAGTTTATCACCTGTCATGGATTTTGTGCCAGAAAATGATATAATTTTCGGAATCCGAATAAGATTTCGATTGCGGACCTTTTACGATATTATTATCGGGTGTAATCCTGAGAAATCGCCATACTATTCCGCTATTCGTCCGTTTGCGGTCCGTTTTTGAGCATTTAATATTTTTAGCTGACATTTTCCGATTCTAACCGCACTAAGTCCACTCTTTGTCCCTTTCGAAACCTTTTCCCCCTTTTCACTTTTCCAACTTTCAAGTAATGAAATTCCCATTTAAAGTAAAAAAATGATGCTATAGCTCTCTATGTCCAGGCATATGTGAAAAATAAACATTCAGCATTCTCGCTAATGAAGTGCTTTCATCTGCAATGTATGCTACCTTTTTTCATTTTATTTCTATTCCCCACCTTTCACTTGAACTGTTTGCATAATTTTTACACCCGTTTGTTTAGCTTTTCAATGCTGACAGTTGAAAAAGGAGCGAATGGGAGTGTGTGTGTGTGTGTCTGTCGCCCTGTAAATTTCATTTTCATTTGTGTGTATGCCTCACTAATTACGAAATGGTTGCAATAACTCCAGAGTAAGCATTCGAAAATGGTGTCCGGGGAAAAAGTAAAAGCAAACAATGAGTCCATGCGGTAGGTAAATTAATTAAATGGAAATTAGTCTGGGGTTAAACAGCTAAACAAAACAATTTAGAATTTTAGAGAATTTAAATTGGAAAGTGAGGGTAAAATTAAAGTGCTTATAGAGGTGAGAAGAGAGGAAATTTCATATATCTAACAATATTTAAAATAGATTTTAATATTTTTAAAATATTCTATAACTTTATATTTATGTCTAAGGGGTTTTACGAATAAAATAGTTAAATATTCGCTAAATAATATAAACCTTTTACAATATTTTAAGCTTTCTTTTAGCCCAAAGAACATATTTTTATTAATTAAATATTTCTTTAACCTTCAATTCTTTTTTGGTATTAATAATATTATTAATTTTAAAGTCTGTTCTTCTATGAGTACACAATATATAATTTGTTTATCCTGTCAGTTTGAATGGCAACTCCTTTGATCCCTGCAATTTGATTACATTTGCCTTTGGACCGACCTCATTAACCAGCCATTCATTTGGCCCTATTCACATCCTCAGCCACCTTTTACCACCTTATTTAACCCGCAGCTAATTACAAAAAGAGCTCTTCTATTTGAATACCCCAAACCCGAACTCAAATCCGAATCGAAATCGGAATCGGGAATCGGGAATCCTGGGGGAAAATCAATAATCGAGGACGAGTGCATCCATGAATGGTCAATCATTCAGGATGCACAGAGGAAAGAGATTCAAAGGAGCTGAGGGATAGGAAGAGACACAGAGAAAGAGGAGCAACAGCAGGAAAGCAGGACAGGACAGGACCCCCAGCGATGAATGGCATTTGCAATGATGTTGCCTGGATTATCTTCTGTTTATATGGGATTTATTCAGGGAAAAAGGGGAAAATGTACGGGTAGCTGGGAGCTGGTAGCTGGGAGCATGTGTTGCCATGACGGCCGCCGTTGCCTTTGTACTCCTTTTGTTGCTCCGGATGCCGGCAGTCTGGCATTGCATAAATGTTTTGCCTTTTAATTAGCACGCATTTCCGATTCGACATTCTGCATTGGCCTGCGTTTGCCTCTTAATGCGCTTAAAGCAGATCCCACAGATCCACATCAACAGCCGCATATCCCTATCCCCCAGCCACATCCTTTGGCTGCCCCGATAATGATGGAAAATAGTGGCCAAGCTGAGGAGAAAATTCAATCAGGCACAGCTTCGAACTTGCAGTCGTTGGTAATGCAATCAGAACAAGGCAAGACGGAGAGCTAGAATATAGAAGAATGCACTGAGGGAAAATAGAGGAATTTTTTAGACTTGAAGTTAGAATTAAAGTTGGAATTTGTTTCTATTAAAAGATGAGCTTTGTTTAGGATATGAATTATAAAGTTTGAACAAAGAAACATTTAAGAGTTTATATAATAAATTACTTCTATTTTCTTGAAGTGCCTCTTGTTAAACCACCAGCTTCTAGCAGTATGGCGGAAATTATGTGGCACTCGAGTGTCCAACGAGCCGTGACCCGAGTATGATGCAAGTCCCAGAAAGAAGTGTAAAAAATTGTGTCAGCAGGGGCACGCACAAGGAAAAGGGATAACGCAGTGCCTGTGGCTGACTGACTGCCCGACTTAGCCTTATCCTTATCCTGTTCTGTTCTACGTGATCCTGCGACGACAGCAAAGCCAGAAAGTATGCAACAAGCAGTGCAAAGTGCACTCAATTGTTTAGCTGCCCCAGGGTTCTAAAAAGGGTATGGAACGCAGGGTTTTCCCTTCTTTCCTTTCTTTCTTTTTTTTTAGATTTTTTTTTTAGAGCGGTAAGTGGGTGGCTTTGTGGCACACAAACTGTATAAAACAGAAAATCAGTTGGCTTTCGCCCAAGTGCATATTAAATGCAGCAGGGAAATCACCTTTTAGGGGAATTTACTTTAATACATTTTCTTGAAATTAATTCTATATATTTGCACACTTATTGTATGGGTTTTGTGTAAATATTGACCTGTAAACAAATGCTGCTTGTGTCACAATAATTACCCCAACTCTCTCTCAAACTATTTAGGAAAACAAACAGAAGCAATTAAAGAGATAATTGACCTAAATTGTAAAGGCTTTTTTGTGGAAAGCACTTTAGTATTTAAATGAATAGAAAATTATAACAAAATTGGATTTTATTGAAAGCTTAAATACACATTTTAACTTTAAGCAGCATTTAGTATTCAGAAGTTTTTGATTTTAATTAAAATTTATAATTAAATAACGTACCAAGAGTTAAGCTTTACTTCAAGCTTGCTCAAAATTCATTGTAATTGCTTTACAAATTCCTATCTCAAGAAGTTTATACATCTTAATGAATTCCAAATTTAAATCTATTGTTCAATTTCTACTTGACATACTCCCTCATACATAATAATCCTCTTATAATATGATTTTCAGCAAAAGCTTTCTGAATTTAAATTCCTTTTCTAATTGCTGGGCAAATATTTCCTTCTCAACTTGAATTTCGTATGGTTTCTGGCAAGAGTTTTCTCGGAATTAATTAATTATAATGCCACCCCTGTTTGCTGGCGAAATATTATCTTTAACCGATAATGAGGCTTTCATGATTTGCATCCCCAAAAATAATTGTCCGTTTCCCTTTTGTTGCCGTTGAAATAAATCAAAATCCTCGCATACACATGCCTAATGACATGTGCCTGGGCTCTAAACTTTTATCTTTTAATTTTGTTAATTTATCGATATGTTCTCTGCTCCAGCAGCAGCTGCCCCTGTGGCCAGGCAAACAATTAGTGGAAAGGAGCAGCCTCCTCCTCCTACTCCTCGTACTCCTCAAAGCAACAGTAACACATGGCATTGACTTCACCCACACCTCCCCTCACATGATTTACAGTCTCAAAGGCCGCCGGCAAAAGTTAAGAAATGAAATTTCAAGAAAATTGCACAAACAACAGGAAGCTCGAAGCTCCAAGGCTGGAAAAGAGCGAAAAAGGTGGAAGGAGGGGATGCTTCGAGGGCATTGAGCCAAAAAAGGAAATATTGTAAAACTCTGGCTATAAAGCAAATACACGATACATATCATCCCAGTGATCAGGGGGTTGGGTATGGCACAAAAGTCGTTATCTTAATTACTTTTATAGCTTCGATTTGGGGGGCGAATGGAGCAGCAACAGTGGCGAGATGCCCCAAAAAATAAGAAAAACAAACAACAGAGACATGGCAACCAAGAGGGAAAAATGTGTGTAAAGAGCCACAGGAGTTTAAGGATACCCTGGAAATTAAGTTAATGAAGGAAACTTTAGAAAAAACTTAAGAAAAAATAACTAAAAACAGGTCTTTAACTATATTTAAATTCCTTATAAAGTTAATTTGTATTTAGAGAAGGAAAATTGTGTGTGAGAGCCACAGGAGTTTAAGGATACCCTGGAAAATAGGTTGATGAAGGAAACTTTAGAATAAAACACGAATGTTTCTCTTAATTTAAATTCCTTATAAAGTTAATTCGTATTTAAAGAGATTTTCTAGCCAAAAGTCCTAGAACTTTGCCTCTTTAAAACCACTTGAAGCACTCAGTCAGCCTTAAAGCAGCAGCCAGGATATCCCCTACCCACCCGATATGAGCCACAAGGATGTTATGACACACATCAGATATGCTAGATGCTGCTGCCTCATTACCCCATAGAAATCTACACATATTTCGCACTTCATTAAGTCACATTTTTCAACCGTTATCGTTGGTGGTGTGTGTGTGTGCCTGTGTGTTTGCCTAGTTTCAACACCAGTTAATTAACTACTCGCGCACATATGTGGGTGGGTGGGGATATATACTATATATATGTGGTAGATATACATAGACCTTTATTCAGGTTACTAGAGCCTGTCCTTGAGTAGAAAGCGAATATCCTCTGTGATGAGCTGGCGGCCTGCTTAATATTTCATAGCCAACTCTGGTTCTTCGCTCTTAAACTAGACACTTAATTAACATTTTGAATGGTTTTCCCCCTAAGCCAGAGCCAAAATCAATTTCCCTTTTCGTTAACGGAAGCTCGAGTCCGGATATGAAAGACGAATGCCCGCGGCGACAATCGCGGCAACTTCACGGGGGGCGGGGAGAGGCAACATCACGACCTTTTAGTGGAAATTATTTTGCCATTTTCCATTTGCCTTTCGGAAAAGCTTTTCGCCTTTGATTATTTATGTCGCCTTTTGTGGCTTGCACAGGGAATAAAAAGGGGGTTTTTTCTAGCTAAAATTTAAAGTTATCAAATCAAATCAATTCTACATTATTTTACTATATTCCGAGACATATTTTTTTGCAGTGCAACATCAATAAACTGTTGACAACTTGAAAACAACAGCGAAATAACTGTTTGAAGGTGGCTAAACGGGGTCTGAGAGGTGTCTGGCACTTTGTTTATGGCAGAAAGCTAAACTTTTAAGTCGCCATCGCCATCACCATCACCGTCACCGTGGCTTGTTAATATTGAGCAGCGCATTATTTATGGAAAACTTTTCACCAAAACACTTTCGTTCCCACCTAACTTTTAACGAGTTCTCTTCAGTTTGGTCGAGTTACTTTTCCATAAATCACCGGCAATTTTCTCACTTCAATTCCTTGAAGCTATAATTGGGGTAGAGTGGAGTAGAGAAACCCACGTTCTTGGCCACGAGCAGACCAACCATAAGCATTTCATTATTAGAACACAAAAATGTTTAAAATTTCATTAAATGGCTGCGTTGTCCAGCACCAAACAAACATGGCCAACTGGGTCCCAGAGCGTAGTCCGTAAAAGCAGGGGGAAAAGGTTGTTAAAAGGACCTATGAAAGAGGGGATACTCTTTGAAAATATAAGAAATATGTTTAAAATTTTAAAATAATGTAGTAAATTATAAGAACAAAGGCTTTTATAAACTCCCTAAAAGCACTTTGATTTCTGTATTCAAGAAATAATAAGTTATTAAACTACTTTTGTAACAAAACTCTTGATAAAATCAATACTCTCCCCCCCAGAGGTAGTGTATAACCAACGCATTGTTGACCGCTCTCACACCCTCTGCTTCCTCCTGACCTTTGGCCCACAGCTAGTTTCAGCCCCTGACCGCATAATAACAATACCCAAGACCAACAACAATGGCAACGAGAACAACAACAGCAGGAGGAGGACCAGCAGACGGACAAACAATTCATAAAAACGTTTAACACAAAACGCAAAAGTGAAAAGCGCCCCACAGCACAGCCATTGCCCAGAAATGAAATTCCCAGACGAGCAGGAGAGAGCACACAGGATACAGGATACAGAATGCGGCGGGATACGAAACGATACGATACGATGCTGATGATGGGGAATATCCCTGGTTGCAATCATAATGAGCAGCAGCAATTCGAAGGCCCCACCGCCACCCCAAACCGCCAGGAGCAACCACCGCCAAAGTGGTCAGCAGCAAACATTGCAATTTCATTTAATAACAAAATATTTGAACAGGAAAAGAAATACCCTCCAGAGGTAGCAAAGAGTTGAGGCAAATTATTACGTCTTTATGCAGAAATTATTTATGATTGCTTTGTCTAGACTTGGCGGCGGCGGCGGCGACGCTGGAAGCCACACAATGCACCGGAATTCCGGGACCGGGTGAGTCCTTGCAAAGTTAGCTGGGTAATTTATGTGCCGATTGCTCATACGACCTGTGCGCACCAAGGCTAAGGTGAGAGGTGGCTTACCGACAAGGAGGTGAACACCGGGGTTGTTACTGGAAAAAGATCTTAGAAATACAAGGATACTTTTAAAAGTTCCTGAAGGACAACCAGAATAATTTTATTAGCTTTAGATATTCCAAAATTAGTTACAAATCAAATGTGAACTATGGTTTCAAGGTCACTCTCTCTCTCTTTGACATTCCGAAATTCGTAAGTGTAAAAATAAGCATGATAATTTTAGTTACAGTTACAGATCAAATCTGTACTACGGTTTCAAGTTTACCTTGTTTTAAAGTTTTTCAAATTGAAAAACAGTTGTCCCCAAGATCGCCATGAAGTGTGTTGTCCTATTTTGCACATTTGTTGCATTTCTTAGTATTGCCATGCCACCTTATGGTAAGCGTAACATATTATTTAATTAAAAATAAATGATTTAAAAGCTAATTATATTATCTATAGATTGCGATCCTGAAAGGTTCCGGTGCTCCTGAAATCCGAATCTATCAAATTAAAGGATTTTCTTACTTAAAATAAAATATTTTGTTTCCTTAAACCAATAAATAAATTAGAAAAGGGAATAAAATATAAATGAGTATGAATATACTGTAATATCAATAAACATTTTGGTTTAAATAGCACTGCGTAGCAAACTTCTGACTAAGAATATAATACTTATATTATAATTATAATAATACAAATTATAAATGTCTTATATCTAATACACATATCAGTTTATGCTAGTTAAGTAAATCAAAGACCCATGCTAAATTTAATTCGATACATATTTTAAACAATTAGTTACAGTTAAAATCTATACAATGGTCTTTTAGGAGACTTCGGATTAAAAAATCAATCCTTACAAGGCAGCTGAAAAGTAAAGTCAACTTAACGCAAAAATCAAGATCGCGATGAAGTGTCTTGTCCTATTTTGCACATTTGTTGCATTTCTTAGTATTGCCATGGAAAAACCTTATGGTAAGCATAACATATTATTTATTTATAAATAAATGATTTAAAAGCTAATTATATTATCGTATATTATATAGGTTGCCCAGGAGAAGGGTTCCGTTGCAATTATGTCTTAATTTAAAAATTTAAATGAATAAAGAATTAAAGCAAATAAACTTCTTTGTTTCTTTCAAGAAATATATGAATTAGAAAAGAGAAATTGACGAAGATATATATTATTCTTCGATACTCTAGATTTTTATTTTTCGTTAATAAAAACAATGCAGCAATCAACATTTCTACCTAACATAACAGGATCCAAGTCTTCGGTGCTTATTTTATAACCCAAAGCCTTGTGTAAATTTTTAAAATTAAGAGACAGAATCCAACACTTTAAGGCTAACTACTTTAAATGAAGCCACCGAAGCTATGGAAAAAGTGACTGGCAATTGCATTGGGTAAATTTAATTAACGTCGCATTGAATTTTAATCAAGTTCATTCAGCGAATGCGACACAACACGTGACATTATTTGCATGCGAAATTAACCTGTGACGGGACAACGGCTGTCGCTACTTTTTCACGCGTTATCCAAAGGATTCGATGGCAGGACTGGGGACTGGGGACTGGGAGGTGTTTTTAATCAAGCTTTCCGACTGGTGAGTCTCTGTGTCTGTTAATAGATTGAAAATGTGATATTGAGGGCCACCGAACTTTACTATTTTCGAGGGACAAACCATTGTTCAGGGCCAATCAGTGGCAAATTGTATATACACCCTGGGAGAGGGTCTCTGTGTAATCATTTCGTTTATTACGGGTGTTCAATTTTCTGTTTTCGAACATTAACATTAATTAATTGACATTAACATTAATTGAAATATGATTTCGGTGACAGACAGACAGAAAGAGTGATTTGCAAGGGTGTGTGCCCATGATGATGATGCCAAAGCAAATTTGATCCCTGACTGGCAATGTATGCAAAATGCAAAATGCAAAATGAATTCATGACACGTCCTTGCCAACCCCCCTGGAAAACTGTCCGGAAACTGTCACTTGAAATACAGTTGCTGTGGCAGAAAGTCAAAAAGTTTCTCTGGCTCTCCTCTCCGGACCAATATGCAAAATATCAGAGAGATATGCAAAATGCTCAAGCCCCTCTAACTCCAGTGTCAAACATTTTTCGAAAACACTTGAAAACAAATTCAAAATAAAATGAACATGTGCATTTTGTGGCAGAAAGTGTACACTGAAGGGAAAAATTTCATGAAAATGTAGCAACAATAACTTTATAAATGCTTTTAAAAAGGTTAACTTTATTTTTATGGTTCATATAAAGCATATTTTATATAAAATCTAATTGATATTTAATTTAAATATTTTTTTCCCTTACTTTTTATTTTTGAAACTGGTAAAAACTATATATTTTGCTCACTGCACACATGCGTGTAAAGTTTTTGAGCTGTGTGGCAAAATTCAATTAACTTGTCCGGCTTGATTGAAGTTGCAGCTTTAGTATCTGACAGATTGTAAAAGTTTCCTCCTGTGTGTGTTGTTTGCCACACAAATTTTTCTCACTTCTCTAAGAGAGGTGGCATAATTTTAAACAGATTTTAGATTTGCATCATTTAAGTGTCAGGGGAGGGGATTTCTACCCTGCTCTCATTTTGAAACCTGTAAGAGCTGCACTTCTTTGCTTTACGGTCCAGTTAACCGTTTGACATATGACCGTCATCATTTAGCGCATATATCTCTCCTGGAAGTCTCTCTCTGCTCTGTTCTGCTCTTAAAAACCATTTTAAATCACGCATTTTTCCCCCTTTTTCCATCATCTCTTCTGGCCGGCTTTTAAGCCCTTTCCCCCTCAAGTGGCCTCCGTTGGCAGCCCATTGAGGGGGCGTGTCAATAGCCCAATGCTGCATTTAAATTGTCCATTCCATTCCATTCCATTTGAGCGTTTACGAGATGCGGACGATGTGCAGCAATTTCTGAAGCTTTGCGGTGGCCGCACAGTGGGTTGAAATATGACTGAAACCCAATAACATAGAAAAATGTCAAGAATATTATATTTTTAATTCCAAAAGGAATTCCCTTGGCTTGCAACCATTACAAAGATCCTTTATACTCCATCTTACCAATTTAAAAACCTATTTCTTAACCCTTTTTTTCCATTTCTAACCACTGTACTCCAGTTGTCCTTCCACCCGCTAGCATTGCAGTGCATCTCCCCTCCTTTTGGCCACAAGCAAATGCACTTTCCTGGCCACGACTAATTTTATGGCCCCCATTCTCGACAGAAGAAACTTTGTGTGCGTCTCCGGGCTGCTCATTTCTTTTTTTAATGGGCCCCAGCCTGGTCCGGGTCTGGACTGGTCTGGCGGAGTGATTCCTCTTAACTCTTAACTCATAATTGCCAGCTTGGCCAGCGCCGTCTCGGCCATTATGACAATTGGCAATGCACCAAAAACTGCAAGCGGGAAGGCAGAGGGCCAGCTCCTCCTTTGATGCGTGGCCATGAAAGCCAGAAGAAGAACAATTAAATGACAAGCCAATTTAATGAGCAGACTTTGGGGATGGGGTAGGTAGGGTGGATGTCTTGTCTCAGTTAGCGGCTTAATGGCCAAATTATTGTCACTTTGAAGTTGGCGCCATTAAAGGTTAAAGCCCCAAGACGGAATTGAGGAGTTAAACTATAATTTAGTGAATTTTAAGGGTTAATAAAGGGTTTTATTTAATATTGAAAAAATTAAATATTAAAGTCTAAGTGGGTTGAACTATAAATATATCTTCAAATAAACCCTAGAGTTGCTTCTAGCAATATTCTGGGTATTCTATGGTCTGTTTCCCCTTTTTAATGCGATTATTCAGCTGGCGATGCGTTGCTAATTCCCCAACGAACCCAAAACAAAGGCCACTCACGCGTGTTTCCCCAAAAAAACCGCTGCAAAAGCTCACCGAAAAACCATACTGCGCTTAAATTGTGACTTTAAAATGCCAGCAAATATGTGGAAACAAATAAATACTTTATATATAGTTGACTAGGTTTTGTTTGGCCGCGTATTTTATTTGGTGATTTTATTTACACAACACTTTGGCACATTAATCGATTCATGGACTGGCCTCCGGCATTGACTTTTCACATCATTTCGTTGAAATTATTTTGCATTATTTGTTGGCTATTTTTTGGGCGGTTGGCCAGCCAATCAATGATGGTTAATTGCATTCCGAGCCGTGCTAAAATTGCAATTAGTTGTTTAATTAAGTTGGCAGCTTCTATGAGAGGAGATAATCAGTATCCACACATTCAGTGGGTTATGAAATAAGCCGGCATTTGATTAATTCATTGCCTAAACGGATCAGCATTATCCAATCATCTGCTCCGTCTAGCGGCAATTTATTCAAATGATAACAACCAGCCAGCAGCAGCAGCAGACAGACACCCAGAAAAAAATTCACACAAGATTTCCTTCCACAAAATCCCAAAAAGGGGAAGCCCCAAAACATAAAAAATCTCGGCTATAGAGTTGGGTAAATGTTGTTAACATGGTAACCTGCGCACACACACAGACACACAGTCAGATTCTGGAACGTGAAGCTTTTTTAATTTGCGTATTTTAGTCACGTTCAGGTAAATCTCAATTGAATCGAATGTGACACCGGATGTGAAAATTGTGCACATTTTCCAAGCATTTTGCAAGGGGAAATCCAAAAACTGGGCAACTGTGGAAAGGAGGGAAAATGCTCCTGCTATTTTCCTCTGGATGGATGGAAGGCAAAGCACGAGACACAAACAAAGATCGCATCAGTAAGCATGCTGCGAAATGTTCCATGCCGAACACTAGGGGGAAAACACGTCGTCAAATCTATCTTATGGCCAAGCCATGGACAGCAGTCGATGAATGACTGGCATGACTCGGGCTCTGGGCCCTTGCTTTCCCCCAAAAACACTCGAAAAAATGGGTGAGATTTTAAGAAATATATACAAAATATATGTATAAATTGTTTATTTGTGCGAAGATATAATGGGGTTACTGATATTTAGTTGTTTCACAAGGGTGAACAGGTGTTCAGGTCATCACACATGATGGTCAGGACGTCCGCGAATTTGCAGGTTGATGCTCTGGCCTTTGACATATGGAGTGCGTTCTTCCTTGGTCATTAGCTGCAAGAACACCGCCTGAAATCCCGCGAATCCAGCATATCCTTGGGAGCTTAGCTTCCAAATTTCACCAGAACGATCAACAGACTCCGGCAAGGACATGCCCGGCGCTCGGGGTTGGTCAGACGCCTCTCGTGGACGAATTCCATAAATGCGTTGGCCTTTTTCGGTGGCATTTTCAAGAGATTATAAAAGGTTTAATGGAATAAAATAGAAAAATAATAATAATAAAATTATTATTATTTAACTTTCCCTTAAAAGTGCATCTTTTCTCTCAGTGCAAAGAGAAATCATGGATATCGTTGTAAACAAAGCGTTTACAGGACACAGCATTTCGCTCTAGATTTTGCCATTTTCAAATTCCCATTGACGTGCTCCATGGGTACTTTGTGTCCATGTCCATGTCCACCTGGCTGTCCCCTAATATGCCGCACCTGATTTTTATGACGACGCTGTCTGCCGCCAGGTTGAAGCATTGAAAAAGGTGTTAAAATGGGGGAATACATATCTCGGCACGCACTTTGCGAGGCCGTTGTTGACCCAGGACAGGTGGCAGGAGCAAGGATACACACACACACACACATCCTGTAGCCTCTTTGCTTTTGCTTTGATGTCGGAGTGTTGGCAAATATTGACTTGGCACATTAACGGCAATTTGACCCGGGGCCAGACATGCAGATACAGCTCCAGCTCCAGCTCCTTTTGTTGCTTTCCTGTGACGACGATAACTACCGGATCCTGGAATCGAGTTAGCAACTTGGCCTGGGTCCTGTATATAATTACATTGTTATTTATTGAATTTTCGCCCCAAAAACATCGGCATCAGCATCTGAACATAAACAACCACGTCAACTTTTGGCCGTCCGCAAAAATTGTTTAGCGACAAATTGTCACAGGCGCTGACAAGAGTTCACATCCAGTTCGAAACTCGCTCTTTGGCCAGAGGGACAGGCGGGCTGACGCACTCGCTCACTCACTGACTGACTGACTGACAGCCCAGACATGATGCGCTGCTGCCGCA